TTTTTTTTTTTTTTTGTCAGTTGTAGGGCTTGAACTCAGGGCCATGGTGCTGTCCCTGAGCTCTTTTTGCTCAACACTAGTGCTCTACCACTTTGAGCCAACAACGCCACTTCCCATTTTCTGGTGGTTAATTGGAGATAAGAGCCATGAATTTGGGGCTGGGAAGGTGGCTCAGTGGTAGGGTGCTTGCCTTGCATACATGAGGCCCTGGGTTCAATTCCTGAGCACCATATAAGCAGAAAAAGCCAGAAGTGGCGCTGTGACTCAAGTGGTAGAGTGCTATCCTTGAGCTGAAGAGCTGAGTGGGACAGCGCCCAGGCCCAGAGTTCAGGGCCCATGACCGACAAAAAAAAAAGTCACGAATTTTCCTGCCCAGGCTGGCTTTGAACTGTTACCCTTACATCTCAGCCTCCTGAGTAGCTAGGATTATAAGTATGAGGCACTGATGCCTGACCTTCCATAGCTTTTCTGCTCAAGATTTGCATTCTACCACAACTTGAGCAACAGCTCCACTTCTGGGTTTCTGGTGATTAATTGGAGATAAGAGTCTTATAGACTTTCCTGCAGGAATGTGTTTGAACAATGAATCTCAGATCTCAGCCTCCTAAGTAGCTAGAGTTATAGGCATAAGCCATGGTGCCAGGTAAGCTCATGGTCTCTAGATGAGATCATGCTTCCTAGCATTGACTCTTCACTCAGCCATATCGAGGCAAAAGGGAAGCTTTATCTCAGGAGAAATCAATCCCCCTGCCTCTTTCCTATTTAATATCACAAAATTGGATCACAGATTCAAATTATGCATCAGCAAGACAGATGACAAAAGTACGTAATTAACTTAGAGTCCCAGTCCTAGACTGTGCACTAATCACCTCTTCAAATCATCAGGCTGTGTACTGGATGTGCATGATAGAAAAGAAAAAGGTATGGGACTGGGAATGTGGCTTAGTGGTAGAGTGCTTGCCTGGCATTCATGAAGCCCTGGGTTCAATTCTTCAGTACCACATAAACAGAAAAGGCCAGAAGTCGCACTGTTGCTCAAGTGGCAGAGCTCTAGCCTTAAACAAAACAAGCTCGGGGACAGTGCCCAGGCCCTGAGTTCAAGCCCCAGGACTGGCAAAAAAAAAAAAAAAAAGTAGCCTGGTGGAGCGTTGGCCTGTCAGTGATGCCTCGGTGCAGTCAGCTCAGAACACAAAGAATTTCCTGTCTTTCTTGTCCCATTCCCTGCTGTAGACAACTTTTTGCCATGAACTGGGCTAGAATTTATAGCCACAAATCACTTCCAAATTCTGTAGTCTCAGGCTGGGATGTAGGTCAGCGGCAAAGTGCTTGCCTAGCAAGTACAATATCCTGGGTTCAATCCCTAGAACCAAAAAAGAAAAACAAAAGTCAAAAGATAAATAAATTCTATAGTCCCAGCTCAGTTAGCCCAGAGGAAAAGCTTTAACATGAATAAACTCCCAGAGACCATCCATGTTCATCTTCCTAAAGAGATGGAAGCAGGGTACAACTTGGCAGCTTCTCTATTACTCTGAGCCCAAGGCTTCTACAGCTATATAAAGCACTGAAATTGCTGGGCATCACTGGCTTATGCCTGTAATCCTAGTTACTTAAAGACTAAGATCTGAGGATTGCAGTTCAAAGCCCAGGCAGAATAGTCCATGAGACTCATCTCTAATTAACCACCAGGAAACCAGAAGCAGTGCTGTGGCTCAAAGTGGTAGAACAGTAGCCTTGAGTAAAAAAGTTCAGTGCCCTGGCCCTGAGTTCAAGCCCCACAATCAACCAAAAAAGGGAAAAAAAGAAAGAACTGAGATTGTATGTATGATATGTGAGTTACTTACTGCCAGAGAGCCCCAGATTTCTCCCCATTCTAACCAGACGGAGACATTGCTCATCAGCCAGTAAAGTTCTCACCACCACCCCATTGCCCCCAGAAACACAAATGTGTGTGTGTGTGTGTGTGTTACCCAGGGTTGGGGATTGGCAGCCTGAGTATTATGAACTCTAGCCTAACTTCATCACTGTGTCTCCCTGCAGTGGTGTTTCCCCAGGATCTGCTGGAGAAGGGCCTGGAGGCAGACAACTTCGCCATGCTAGGACTCGGAGATATTGTCATTCCAGGTAACTCTGCTGGAAGAGGGTTATTGTAGAGGGGGTGGAGAGATATTCTAGAACAAGGGAGAGCACTATGAAAGAGACAGCTTTACTTGTTGAGAAAGAACAGGAAGCCCAGGACTTGGTGAAAGATTCTTCTTCAACACACTTTTGTGGAGCAGCAGTCATATGTTAGGCCCTGAGCTGGACCCTGGATGGACAGTAGCGAACAAGGCTGTCATCATAGAAGTTCTGCTCTAGACAAACTGTCATGATTTAAAAAAAAAAAAAATAACTTAAAAAAGTAAATGTCTAGGGCTGGTAGAGTGCTTGCCTAGTATGCATGAAGCCCTGGGTTCAATTCCTCAGTACTACATAAATAGAATAAGCTGGAAATGGCCCTGTGGCTCAAGTGGTAGAGTGCTAGCCTTGAGCTCAGAGAGGCTCAGGGACAGAGCCCAGGCCCTGAGTTCAAGCCCCAGCACCAGAAGAAAACAAAAAAGGAAATGTCTAATGATTGAGATCAACTCTGGAAAATAAAGCATATTGTATGCTGGGTACCAGAGGCTCATGCATATAATCCTAGCTACTCCAGTGGCTGAGATCTGAGGACTGCAATTAGAAGCTTGCCTGAGCAAGAGTCCATGAGACTCTTATCTCCACTTTACCCAAAAATCTGGAAATGGAGCAGTGGCTTAAGAGCTCAGGGAGTTTGGGAATTTAGCTCAGTGGAAGATTGCTTGCCTGGCAAGTGCAAGGCCCTGAGTTCAGTCTTCAGCTCTGAAAAACTACAAAATGGAAAAAAGAAATAAAGCTTAAGGAAATGGCACCAGTGTCCCATGCCTGTAACCCTAGCTACTCAGACAGGATAGGAAAGTTTGTGAGACTCATCTCCAGTTAAGCACCCAAAAAGCTGAGTGGAGCCATAGCTCAAGTGGTAAAACACTATCCTTGAGCAAAAAGAGCTCAAGCCACAGGACTGGCACGTGCATGCACACGAGTGCACATACACACACACACACACACACATATACACACAGCTCAGGGACAGCACCCAGGCCCTGAGTTAAAGACCCAGGTCTAGCACCACCACCATCATCTCCTCAATAAAGTGTGACTGCCTCAAAGGAGCCCAACATCCCTCATAGATAAGTTACAGATGGCCTACAACTACCATTGTCCCCTTGTTCCTGTCTCCTTTGCTGAAAGGAGAGAGAGCAAGAATGCAGGTGTGAGCCACTGTGTGTGCTCTTGGCACATACCTGCTTGTCTGCACAATCTAGCCTTTGAGCCACATCTATGTGTGGGTGCTTATCAGTGCGCCATGGATGTGACACAGGTTTATGTCTCCATACATCAATGAATGTGCCTCAGTGTGGCATCGAAACTCCCAGTGGAGACTCACGATAGCTACAGTGGCTAAGACTTCAAAGCTATGTGTCTGCAGACCTGGTAACAGAACATGCCAGTTTTAGTCACAGGTTCAATCAATAGATTCGAAGGCTGTTATCAAGTTTGGAATACATTAGAAGCCAGCTTGTTTTCTAGGGTAGGAAGATGAAAGAGCAATTGTAATAACTCAGGGTGATGTGGGCATATTTGCTTGTGATGCTCTCTCCTTGGGGCACATGCAGATGAAGCTGAGGCTTTAGGTAAAGCCTAACTTGAAGAGAGGAAAGGGGCTTTCAGAAGTGAATAGACTATAGACACTTAGCAGCTTATAACCAGCTGGACTCAGACCAAGCCTGTCTTCACTGTAAGGCTGGGGTGTTGCCCAGTATAAGGCCCCCAGAATTCATCCAGCATTCATGAATGGGTGAAGTATGTATATATGTCAAGAACCTGTTTTGCCTAGCATGATACTGGAGGCTTTCTATGCATCATCATTATTAGTCCAGCAGCCCCTTTAATATAAAAACTATTTCCATTTTTCAAATGAGGAAGAAGGTTAAAAAATATGGTTCCCAGGGCTGGGAAGGTGGCTCAGTGGTAGAGCACTTGCCTTGCATGCATGAGGCCATGGGTTCCATTCCTCAGCACCACATAAGCAAAAAAGAAAAAACCGGAAGTGGCGCTGTGGCTTAAGTGGTAGAGCGCTAGCCTTGAGGAGGAGCTTAGGGACAGTGTCCAGGCCCAGAGTTCAGGCCCCAGGACCAGACCAAAAAAAAACATGTATGTGTATATATATATATATGGTTCCTAGCTAGATGCAGGGGCTCACACCTGTAATCCTAGCTACTCAAGAGGCTGAGATATGAGGATCCTGGTTCAAAGCCAGCCCGGGCAGGAAAGCCTGTGAGACTCTTATCTCCAATTAACTACCAGAAAACTGGAAGTGGCACTGTGGCTCAAGTGGTAGAATACGCCCCTTGAGCTGAAGCACTAAGGGACAGCACCCAGGCCCAGAGTTCATGACCGACAAAAAATAATAATAAATACACACACACACACACACACACACACGATTCGTGGGCAAAAAGTAAGCTGGGCCCTGGTGGCTCACACCTATAGCTACTCAAAAAGCTGAAATCTAAGGGTTGAGAATTAAAGCCTGGACAGACCAATAAATCCAAGAGATTCTTTTTTTTTTTTTTTTTTGTGGGGGGGGTCCGGTCGTGGGGCCTGAACTCTGGGCCTGGGCACTGTCCCTCAGCTCTTCAGCTCAAGGCTAGTGCTCTACCACTTGAGCCACAGCGCCACTTGCGGCTTTTTTTTTTTCTGCTTATGTGGTGCTGAGGAATCGAACTCAGGGCCTCATGCATGCAAGGCAAGCACTCTACCACTGAGCCACCTTCCCAGTCCATCCAAGAGATTCTTATCTCCAATTAACCTTTTAAAAAAAAAAAAAAAGCCTGAAGTAAAGATTTGGCTCAAGTGGTAGAGTGCCAGCCTTAAGTGAAAAACCAGAAAAAAAAAAAGAAAAAGTAACATAACTGCTTGCCTGGGGAGCTTTGCCTTGAACTGAACTTTTTCCATGTTTCAAGGCTACATGAGGCAGGATGCTTTCTTCTCAAGAAAGGTAACTCTCATCTCATACATGAAAAAAATAAAAAAGCATATGGCTTACTCTCCAGAGTATGGTCTTTCTTGACACCCAGTGACAGACCGCTCCAATATCCTTGGTGGTCAGTTCTAGCTGTCAGTTCTGGCTGTTTCTGCATGTTTATCCTTCCCAAATTCATAGATGTCTCAGAATCTTTCAGCACTCGTGAGAATCTCAGTGAACTGGGCCCTCTTCTGCCCAGGTGGAACATGCTTTGAGGACCAGATGAGCTGTTAGGAGTGAACCCCTCTGTCAGAACTCCAGCCCCTGGATTGGTTGAAGAACAGTTGAGCATTTATCTGCCAGGATGTTGAGTTTTCCCACTTTGCAGTGCAGTAGGGCAGCCCTGGCACTCTCCACCTACCAGACTAAGTCATTACAAGTGACTAACACATTTTTGTCTTTTTTTGGGGGGGTCATTCTTGGGGCTTGAACTCAGGGCCTCTGCGTTGTCCCTGAGCTTTTCTGTTCACGGATAGTGCTCTACCACTTTGAGCCAAGTGCCACTTCTAGTTTTCTGGTGGTTAATTGGAGATAAGAGTCTCTCAGAATTTCCTGCCCAGTCAGGCTTTGAACTGTAATCTTCAGATCTCAGCCTCTTGAGTAGCTAGGATTACAGATGTGAGCCACCAGGACCCAGTTCATTTTCCTTTTTTAAGTTAATTATTTAAATCAAGCACCAGTAATCCTAGTTACGTTTGGGAGGCTGAGATTTAAGGATCCAGGTTTGAAGCCAGCCCAAGCAGAAAAGTCTGAAACCTCTCCTTCCTTCCTTCCCTCCTTCCTTCCTTTTTTCCTTCCTTCCTTTTTTCTCTTTCTCCCCTCATGCTGGTTCTGGGGCTTGAACTAAGACCCTAGGCACATCCCAAAGGCTGTTTTGTTTTATTTTGTTTCTCAAGGCTAATGCTCTAGTGCTTTAAGCCACAGCTCCACTTCGTTTTTCTGGTGGATAATTGGAAGTAAGAGTCTCACAGACTTTCCTGCCTGGGCTGGCTTTGAACTGCTATCCTCAGATCTCAGTCCCCTGACTAGCTAGAATTACAAGTGTGAGCCACTAGCACCTGACTCCAGGAGACTCTTTTTTTTTTTTTCTGGCTACAAGTTTATTCAACACAAAACAATCTCCATCTTTACTGGGGTGGCTGACCATGTCCACGACCAAATCCACCTCTAAACTGGGATTCAGTTGCTGACCCAGCCCCAGCCTCAGCTTTCTTGTCAGCACCAGGGGGCACAGCACTCCGTCTGTAGGTGTCTCTGTCAGCTTCACCTCTTGTGAGTCTTGTAGGCCGCTCGCCCTCCAGACCTTTTGGCCGAGGCCTTCCAGTCTCAGGTCGGCTGCGGCTCAAGGTAGCAGGCACAATCTAAGGGGGCAGGTGGAGGTAATCACGGAGATGGTGGATCCCCTCGTTGGTCAGGTACCAATAAAAATGCCTCCAGGGGCTGGGAAGGTGGCTCAGTGGTAGAGCGCTTGCCTTGCATGCATGAGCCCTGGTTCGATTCCTCAGCATCACATAAGCAAAAAGAAAAAAGCCAAACGTGGCGCTGGGCTCAAGTGGTAGACGCTAGCCTTGAGCTGAAGAGCTGAGGGACAGTGCCCAGGCCCAGAGTTCAGGCCCCACGACTGGACCCAAAACAACAACAACAACAAAAAGAATGTGCCCAACCTTCACGTCATGAAGGCCAAGCAGCCTCTCAAGTCTCGGGCTACGGGAAGGAACAGTGCTAGGGAATTGAACTCAGGGCCTCATGCATGCAAGGCAAGCGCTCTACCACTGAGCCACCTTCCCAGCCCCAGGTTGGGGACATTCTTGTCTGCCAGTTCTGGGTGTTTGGGCATGTGGACATTCTTCTTGGCCACCATAACACCCTCCTTTAAAAGGAGTTCATAAATGGCAATCCGGTTTTTCTTGGGCATCAATATCACGGCGGCTTCAGGGTCCGAGGCCGAGACTGGAAAGGAAGGGGCATGCGCGATGCGGCGCCTCTTCTGGGCTACGTGGCCCCGCCTCTTCCAGGAGACTCTTTATCTCCAACTAACCACCAAAAAGCCAGCAGTGGAACTGTGACTCAAGTAGTAGAGTATTAGCCTTGAGCACAAAAGCTCAGGAATAGTGCCCAGATTCTTAAGTTTAAACCCCAGAACCAGCACACAAATACACGAAAATAGTAAGCTGGGAGCCGTTGACTCATGCCTTGAGTAGCTAGCTACTCAAGAGGCTGAGTTCTGAGGATCACAGTTCAACACCAGTCCAGGCGGAAAGTCCAGGAGACTCTTATCTCCAATTAACTACCAGAAAACTGGAAGTGGCGCTGTGGCTGAAGTGGTAGAACACGCACCTTGAGCTGAAGAGCTCAGAGACAGCTCCCAAGCCCAAAGTTCAAGCCCCACCACTGACCAAAAAATAAAAAATTAAGTAAATAAATAACTTGTGCTAGGGTGTAGCTCAACAATAGATCACTTGACTACCATGACAAGGCTTTGGGTTTGATCCTCAGCACTGCAGAATACTTATAAATGTATGTAAATGCATATACATATTTACATATAAATCACATGTTGTCTGTTGGTGCTTCTGATCAGCACAGAATGTTTTGGTACTTTTTTGTGTGTGTCAGTACTGGGGCTTGAACTCAAGCGTGGTGTAGCTCTTTTGTTCAAGGCTCAACCACTTGACACTCAACCACTTGAGCCATAGTTCTACTTCCAGCCTTCTGCTAGTTAATCAGAAATAAGAGTTCCACAAACTTTCCTGCCCCCATTGTTCTAGATAGAGAAACTGGGATTTCTGCGGGCATTTGGCAGTGTTGGCCACCCCTTCAGCCCCCAATGAGGGTTCCATGCCTGGGAATACCAGTCTGGGACCCGCTCCTCTGCCACAATCTAACCCTGACTTTCTTCCCACAGGGATCTTCATTGCCTTGCTGCTGCGTTTTGATATCAGGTAAGGGAGGAAGGGCCTCCTGACGGGGGACCAAATACTCTACCCAGAGCAATGGAAGCAATTCCAGTTTCATGTCCGTTCTGAAATTTAAGTGTTCCAAGAGCCCTATCCAAAATGTTCTGTAGTGTTGAGAACACAGACCAAGAGTTTAAATCCAGAACAAATGTCCTAGTGGGACATGCAGTGCTTTCTCCTGTGCCCTTGCAAGCAGCCTAGCCTTGCTAAGTCTTGGGTTTCTCACACTTAAGGTAGTGATAGACAAAAGTTCCTACCTCAAGAGCATCACAACAGTCTGGAGAGTGCTGAGTGCAGGCCAGCCACAGTTACCAATATCATCATCCTTACCAGCCTGAGGTCAGGTCACAGGGTCCCAGCTAGGTCTCTAGCTTTTGCCTGCCCTCTCCTTACTTGGGTTTTGTTTTTGTTTTTTTTCAGTCTGCTGTAGAAAATGAGCACAGGGCTGAGGGTATGGCTCAGTGGAAGAGAGTTTGCCTAGCTAGTCAGGGCCTAGGCACTGCCCCTGAACTTTTTTGCTTAAGGTTAGTGCTCTATCACTTGGGCCATAACTCCACTTATAGCTTTTGAGTGGTTAATGGAAAATAAGAGTCTCTTAGAGTTTGCTAGTTAGGCTGGCTTTAAAACATAATCTTTGGATCTCTGCCTCCCGAATAGCTAAGATTACAGATGTGAGCCCACTGACACCCAACTTGTTTTGTGGCTTTGGGGTTTTGTTTTTGTGTGTGTCAGGGGCTTGATGGAACTTGGGGCCTAGGGCACTATCTCTGAGACTTTTTGCTCAAATACTTTACCACTTGAACCACAGCTACACTGCTAATCATTTACTAGTTAGGGATAAAAATTTCATAGACTTTCTTGTCCCCAACTGAACTTTGATCCTTAGATCTCAGCCTTCTGACTGAGTAGCTAGGATTACAGGCATGAGCTATCAGTACCTGATTTATTTTGTGCTTTTTAGACAGTTTCACTTTGTAGTCCAGCTGACCTCAAACCCTGAGTGTTTACAAGCATGGACCACCTTTTTTTTTGTCATTGGGCCTGTACTGTGAGCCTGGGTGCTGTCCCCCAGCTCCTCTGCTCAAGGCTAGTGCTCTACCACCACTGGAGCCACAGCACCACTTCTGGCTTTTTCTGCTTATGTGGTGCTGAGGAATCGAACCCAGGGCCTCGTGCATGCAAGGCAAGCATTCTACCACTAAGCCACCTTTCCAGCCCTTGCCTGTTTTTTTACTTGATTGATGCTTTTCTTTTGCAGTACTGAGAGTCAAACTGAGGCCTTGAGCATGGTAGACAGGCATTAGAACTAACTCCCCAACCTCTAATATCTGGATGCTTTGTGTAGTTCCACTTAAAACCTCATGAAAACACAGGCTTCCAGATAACTTTTACTAGGGCCTGACCAGTTAGTAGGGAAACCTACATCTGGACCTTCCACCTCCACTCCAGAAGTAGAACATAGAGAAACCCACAGAAGTCCCCCTGGCTCACCTGCTGCAGGCACAAACTTAGCTGCCAGCACCCTAGAGTCAGAAGATAGACCTATCTCATCTAGGTTCACAGGGTGACAGTGTAATTCTAGAATCAGTGTCACATTCCCAGAGTCACTTGTACCAGCCCTCACAAAAGCCATCTAGAGAAAAAAAGAAGCCAAAGGTACTCATTCTACATCTTAAGTGAGCCTGCAGTACTTGGTGGGCACCATTCCTGCTGCTTGGGACAGCAAGGGACTTTAGCTGGCATTGTACAGGAAAGTCAGGTAGTGGTGGTACCAGGTTGCATTTGATTTATAGATTCTGAAGCTGATCTTGGATGAATCACTAGGAAACTCCTGGCATTTTTTTCCGTGCAGCTGGCATCTATTGGGTGCTCACAGATACTGAGTTGTTGCATCTGCCACATTTAACAGTAGAAAAATTGCCTTCACAGTTTCTGCCTTTCTATTTCCCAGAGCCTGAGCCGCCCATATCACAGCCTCTGTTGTTTTTCAACATGCAGTTCCTTGGCCTTGCCTCACACCTGTATTTTTTTCACAAGCTTTTGTAAATGATCTTTATGCTGACTCAAAGTCTCCCAGCCACTGTTGCAGGTTATATTTGATATTTAATTAAAACCACCAAGGAGATGGGCTCCTGTTTCTTCCATTCTGCAGAACAGTAAGCTAGGCTGAGGGAACGATAGTGACTTATCCAAAGACCCTTACTAGGCTAGGGGGAGGAAATGTGGCCTAGTGATAAAGTGCTTGCCTAGCATGCTTGAAGCCCTGGGTTCGATTCCTCAGTACCACATAAACAGAAAAATCCAGAAGTGGCACTGTGGCTCAAGTGGTAGAGTGCTAGCTTTGAGCAAATGAAGCTCAGGGAGAGTGCCCAGACCATGAGTTCAAGCCCTAGGACTGGCAAAAAACAAAGACACTAATTAGCTGGGGCAAGTGCAGACTCTAACCCCCATCTCAGAGTTCAGATCCCCTAACAACGAGAGAGTCTTCCCGAGACAGGAGCTTGCTCCTCCAGACCACGTCTAACCCTCATCCTCCTCCCCATCTTCCCTGAAGCTTGAAGAAGAACACTCACACCTACTTCTACACCAGCTTCGCTGCCTACATCTTTGGCCTGGGCCTTACCATCTCCATTATGCATATCTTCAAGCATGCCCAGGTAAGCAGGCTGTCCTTATGGGAGTGGCAGTATTATACTTCAAGTAACAGGACTGGCAGAGGTTTTGCTTCTTGTGTACACAGCCAGAAGTGGGCACTTTCTGGCGGGATCAGCAGTGGTTTGTGGTTGCAGGGTGGCTGTCTGTGCTCTTAGCAGGTCATGCTTAAGAGGAAAAAAGCCAGGGCTGGGAAGGTAGCTCAGCAGTAGAGTGCATGCCTTGCAAGCATGAGGCCCTGGGGTCGATTCCTCAGCACCACATAAACAGAAAAAGCCGGAAGTGGCGCTGTGGCTCCAGTGGTAGAGCGCTAGCCTTGAGCTGAAGAGCTGAGGGACAGTGCCCAGGCCTCATGACCGGCAAAAAAAAAAAAAAGAGGAAAAAAGCCAATCATGCTGTTGTCCTCCTTAGGAAGACAGAAACCTTCCCCAGATCCTCACAGATGCTTGCTTGCACCTCAGAAGCCAAGTAGACTGCCCTGACTGCAGAGGACAAGTGGGAAGGAGAGCTGGCTTCCCTGGCTCTAGTTGGGGCAGGTTGAGTAGAACTGAGTAGGTGTTGTGGGTTTTTTCTTTTTCTTTTTTTTTATTATTATGAAGGTAATGTAAAAAGGGGTTACAGTTACATGTCAGGTAAAGAGTACATTTCTTTTTGAACAATGTCATCCCTTCCCTTGCTCCCTCCCAGTTCCTCACTCCCTCCCCCACCTCTGTCCCTACCCACAATAGTTCATTTTCAGCCTAGTGTCTAGTGAGTACCACTGCTGCCTTTGTTCCCCCTTTGCCCCTCCATTTCTGTGCCTCGCCTTCCCTTCCAAGTGTTGAGTTTTTCAGCCCAGGGTTCCTCCCAAGCAGGCCAAGGCTCTGCCTCTTCCTCCTACCAAGATGGGTGCTACTAGTCAAAGCCCCTGAGTGAGTATAGCCTAAATGTTGGGAGTGGATAGAGCAGGCAGAATGCCTCTGCTGGAGTAAAAAGGGGCCTTGCTTGTTAATTACTTCCTGCTTGCCAGGCTTTGTGCCGAGAAGGTCCTTGTGAGCAGATGAAGAACCACATAGCAGTCTTGTGGCAGAGTCAGAACTCAAGCCTAGGTCAGTGTGAAAACCAGGCTCAGGCTCAACGGCCCTGGTTCTAGGAAAGGCAGCATGGAACAGAAGTTGAGAGGACCCTGTTGGGAATCCAGACAACCTCATTCATTAATAAGAACAGAAAAGGAGATCAACAATAGCCAATAGCCACCTTAGGATGGTTTGAGGACGGGATGAGTTAGTTTAAGTAAAATACTATAAACTCACCTGGCCCAAGTAGTCTTAACTGTCATTATACTGCCCACCTTCCCATGCAGTTTCATTGTCTGTAGTTTGGCTACTTGTAGCAAAAAAAAAAAATGGAAAATTCCAGCAATTCATAACTTAGTTTTCATGCCATTGTATTACAATCAACTGTTTGACCATCCCATGAGAGCCTTTATGCAGCACTTCCTGCCCATTAGTCTCTTGATAGCCATACATATATATATGGTACGTGTGTGTGTGTGTGTGTGTGTGTGTGTGTGTGTGTGTGTGTGTGTGTGTGTGTGTACCATACAAATATATACATATATATGGTATGATAGCCATACATAAATATATATGTATGTATGTGTGGTACAATATTATCTGGAATATTAGGCATCCCCTGGGGTCCACATGTCCTCAAACTAATAGCAGAAGATGGTGGTAAGCCCTAGGTGTGGAAGTAGACCTGGGTTGACTTTAAGGGCTTTTATGAAGTGCTCCACTATAACTCAGCCCTTCACTGCAGTCCAAGCCTCAAGCCATTCACTTGGCAGCCACCAGATGGCAGGCTTGCCTTTCCAACTGGACCAGGGGAAGACTCCATTAAGCTCTCACATGTAAGGAAGGAGAGATGGTCTCCTTTGTGGGGAAATTGCAGACCTGGGAGGACAGCAGTCTGTCCAAGGTCACATAACAAGCTTAGCTAGGCCTCTACTGGAGCCCTGAGCTGGACAGCCCACGCCTGTACTATTCCTCAGCCCTTCTCTGCAGTTATCTAAGTCATTATTTCCTTGACAAATCCTTTGGGGAAAGAGATCTGGTGCACAGGAGAACATGTTGCATGAGGTGGCCCCTTTTCTAAGACAGAGGCAATTCTAACGCTAGCATGGCGGTAGATGGGAGTCACCTGTGTAACCTCTGCATGGCCTTCAACTTACTTGACCTCCTGAGAACTCGCCAAGCTAGCATGCGATCAAAACCCCTTAGGAAGTCTCTTAGAGATGACCAGGTAGAAGACTGAGATGAAACTCAGGGCTTCAGGCCTGTTAGATAGCATCTACCATTGAGCTACATCCTAGCCCTTTTTTCTGGCCTCCTGATTTAAAAGCTTAGTTTGTGTATTTCAAGCCCTTGTTTTTCTCACCAACTCACTTTATGGTGGCAGTTTTCCATTGAGTACCACTTTGCTTTTCACAGGCTTTGGAGAAATCCTGTTACTGTGATTTTTATCCCCCTAGGCTCAAAGCCCAGTTCACAGTAAAGACCCAGTGTCCACATAAGCACAGCTACCCAGAGTCAAATCCCAGCTCAGCCACTAACACACACACACATGCATGCACACACACGCGTACATACACACAGCCAGATAATTCTGTGAAGGACTTAGAGGCTCTTAAGAGTGTACAGGAAACAGACCTGATGCCCCCCAGAAATGATACCTTAGCTGAAGACAGGAGGAGGAGGAAACTAGGCACAGATGGGAGAATATTCCAGGCAGTGGAAACTGTGTAAAGGTCCTGGAGCTATGGCCAGAGTAAGGTAGCTCAGGTGAGGTTAGAGAAGGTGTCATGTCTCATGGGGCCTTCAGATTACTGGTAGCACTGAGGACTATGGAGGATTGAACAATGCAGTAAGAATTACCTTTTAGTTGCTATAGACAAAGAATTGCTTGACTCTGGCATGCCTGAGCTTCCATCCTCACTTCGGCATTTGGACCACCAAGGCTAGGATGGCTCCTCCCTCTCAGCACATCAGTCTTTCTCTATAAAAACAAAGCAGCCACGGGGGAAAAGCCAAGGTGGTGGGTCCAGCTCCCAGACTGTACCAGCAGGGTGTCATTGTGCCACATAGGCTCTTAGTATACAGATGTCCTTTCCTCTGAATGCAGCTTTTCCAGGAATCTCAGCACAGACTTAGGGGTACCTAGGTGTGAATCCCAGTGGAGCCATTTGATCACCATAACACAGGCCATAACAAGTGCTGCGTGTATACTGGCTGTGTCCAAATGGTCGCCTTCGTCACAGCAACTTCTCCAGCACACTCGGCCCAGTCAAGACTCTCAGGACCCTAAAGCTCTTCACCCTTGGGCTTCTTTCTAGTCGGTCATTCCCTCCCCAGCCTGACAGGAGCCTGAGTTGGGGCCCAGCTACTGGCCTGAGCTAGCCGGAGCTGCCCTTGAGTTAGGCCTAAGCAGGTGCCCTGCCAGCAATACCTCACCAGCCTATGCCCTCTCACAGCCTGCCCTCCTGTACCTGGTCCCTGCCTGCATCGGCTTTCCCATCCTGGTGGCGCTGGCCAAGGGAGAAGTGACCGAGATGTTCAGGTAAGCACAGCAGGGGTCAGAGGTTCACATGGGGTCCTGTGCACCTGTGGGCAGCTGTGGAGCCTGCCAGAGGTGTTTATCTCCAGTGAACATTGTTCCCACCACCTGTTCCACTCCTCACCCTTTCTGCCAGCACCTGGGTGCCTGGCCTGTGGCCACCAAAGGAACCTCTCCCTGGGCCAGGAGCCAGGATGGAGCCAGGCCCGGGGCTCTCTAAGCAGCCCCCACACCACATGCCATCAAGGTCATGAGAAGGGAACAGGTTGCCCACTATCCTTAGCTCTGCCAGCAGATGACTTGCCATGTGACCTTCTCCTGCACAGTCCGTTTTCACACAGGAGTAGAACAGGACGTGGTGGGAAGTGCCCTGAACATGAGAGGTCATGTGGGTCTCTAGCCGTAACCCACTGGCATTCTGTCCAGCTCCGTGTTGTCCCCTCAGTCAGAACACATCAGCCACGCCTTGTGCGCAGCTCCACCCCTGCCCCAAGGCCTTCGTGATTCTAGCAGGTGTCTGCTCCCTGGCACAACCAACCCCACTTGCCAGGGACCTAGAAATAGCTGCCAGTTGCTACTAAAGCTGCCCACTCCGTTTATCTGGCCTCCAAGTTGCCCCTCAAGTGCCTGCCAGGGCCTCCTGCACACCTGCCTGCCTCAAGGGCTGCCTGTGACTCACCCCTCCCCCGTACCTGCCTTTGCCCTCCTTGCACTGCCTAGAATCCCCAGCCTCTCTGCCCCTATCTCCCCGCCTGCCAAAGCCTTGGTATCTGCAGCGAGTGGGTTAGGGACATGAACTGGAGGACAACTCTGGGAAACGGGCAGGGTACTTGACCCCTGAGTTAGCACCTCTTTGGGGCATATCCAGCCTCAGGTCTCCTCGCCTCATCACCTTGGGGTGACTTCCCTAGTCCAGCCCACTGTGTCCTTTGAGCAACCCAGGCAGGACAGAAAGTGCCCCTTCACCCACTTGGGGCTTGCTTTCCCTGGATTCTATGACATGCATTCACCACCACCACTCCTCCAGTTCTTAGGGAAAGGTGAGGAAGTAGCAGTCTCTTTCTCTTTCTTTAGTCTCTCCTGATTCTCCACCTGACCTCTGCTTTACTTTTCTCTTACTGCCACTCTTTTTGAAATTCAGTCAGCCACTCATACCCCATGCTGGGGATCGAATCCAGGACCTCATGAATGCTCGGAAGTGATCTACTACTGAGCTGCATCTTCGGCCCTCATATTATTCTTGAATGGGTAACGCATTCCCCTGGTCAGAATTTCACCATCTCCTAGCTATGGAAAGCACATGTTCTTATGCCACAGAGACTCCTGTGCACTGAAATGTAGCTGTGTGTGCACTGATGGTGGCACTCTCCACTAGTCTGCATCTGGTGTTTTGGGTGGGGATTGAGGCTGGGGCCTGACACATGCTGAGCACATGCTCTGCCTCTGGGTAAGCATCCCAGCCTTTGGATTTTCACAGAACAGTTAAGGAACTTCAGAGAGATTTCCACGGCAACGCGTTGATCTTTTGCACAGGTGCATAGTGCACCTTTTTCTGCAGGTGATGCTGGCTTTCTACTAGTCTGGAAGTGCAGAGCCAGATAACAAAGCACAATGCTTGTGCTTTCTGCTCCTCCACTCTTTGTCTTCCTCTCTCCATCTCTGTTCTGTCTCTGTCTCTGTCTTTCACACAGCTACGAGTCCTCGGCGGAAATCCTGCCTCATACCCCGAGGCTCACCCACTTCCCCACAGTCTCGGGCTCCCCTGCCAGCCTGGCCAACTCCATGCAGCAGAAGCTAGCTGGCCATCGTCGCCGGCGCCCACAGAATCACAGCACCATGTAATGCCCAGCGGGTGCCCACCTGCCCACTCCCTCACTGCCTGGGGCCCAAGGTAGGGCAGTCGCTCCAGCTCCAGTGGAAGGGCTGAGGGCAGCAGCAGGAGGCAGCTCCACAGCTCTCGGCATTCTGCGCCAGGCCTGTGCGGAGCAGGCAGGCTGCGTCTTGGTGTGCTCCTGGTGACATGTGGCTCGCTTGAGAGTGGGTTCAGACCTGAGTGGCTGTCCCACACAGTGCTGGGTAGTGTCTGTGCTCGTTGTGTACCTATCCCTGAGCAGATCACTCCCTTCAGGGACTTTCTGTATAAGTGGGCGCACTCTACCTCTCAGGTTGATCTCGTGAGGAAATGTGTTGTGCTTGGCATGAATACAGTTGCTCAATAAATGAAGCCCATGGTAAGAGCTCACCCAGACTGCCTTCCACAAGGGCAGCACCAGACCCCTCTCCTGAAGCCTCATCCTAGCTGCCCTTTATTCCACTGTCCAGCAGAAGGTTCAAGAAGCTTAAAGTTTCTGGGTGCTGGTAGCTCACACCTGTAATCCTAGCTACTCATGAAGTCTGAGGATTATGGTTCAAAGCCTGCCCAGACAGAAAAGTCCCTAAGACTCCTATCTCCAGCAAACTTACTCAGAAAAAAACAGGAAGTGGCCCTGTTGCTCAAGTGGCAAAGTTCTAACCTTGAGCACAGAGAGGCTCAGGGACTGAGTGCCCAGGCCCTGAGTTCAAGCCCCAGGACCAGCAAAAAAAAAAAAAAATTTAAAAAGCAGCAGCTTAAAGTTGATCCATGCATGCCCAGCTCTAGCCTCTCCCATTTGCTGATGCCTGTTGGCAGCACAGGCACAGAGAAAGCAGAACGGCCTCCTACAGGGAAACACAGTCTGGCTAAGGCCAGGTGCTAGCAGATGCTGGGCAGTGATTATACACTGACCCTCAGGTGCCCAAAGGATTGTGGAGAAAGGCCCTACCTCTAACTGTGTGTTTATTATTTTCTGGTCAGTTATGAGGAGTCAAACCCTAAGGATCCAGCAGCTGTGACAGAATCCAAAGAGGGAACGGAGGCGTCAGCGTCAAAGAAGCTGGAGAAGAAGGAGAAATGAAGCGGCTGGTGACTGACCCTCTGAGGGCCAGACCAGACAGGTCGGGGACAGATTGACAAGTGACTTGGGCAAAGGACATCCTCAGGAGGTGAAGGCAGCTCCAGGACGGGTGGGCAACAGAATCCCTCCAGCCCAGCCCCATCCCATGGCCTGCTTCCCTTTCCCATGTGTGTGTGTGCGTGTGTGCGTGTGCGTGTGTGTCCTTCCTCTGCTTCTCCCCACCCTGCAGGCAAAGGAAGCCCCCAGCAACCTCCCTCCCCAGGAGCCAAGTCGGAACTGGGTGTGATTTTTAGATTTTTGTATTGTGAACTGTCTTTGCCTCACATTAAAAACTCATCCCATGGCCAGGTGGGTTGCTGTGTTCTGTAAGCACCCCCAGCATCTGGTTCTAGGTTCATTAGGTCTCACCTGCCACCCGAAAACTTCTCCAAAAGCCCCCTTCTGGATACCCACCCCAATGCTGGGCTAGCTGGCCAACTCAGCAGACACCCCAAGGATGACTTTGGCAGCAGAGGGGGTTCATAAACCCTCCCCAGCCATCGTTTTCCTCACCCCCTTCCTCCTGACACTTGCTGGCAGGTGCTCGGTGTGCTCCACTCACTTGGTAAGAGGTGAGGTGACTGCCACAGGGTCAGCGTGGCCAAGAGAACCAGCAACTAAAGCTGCCAGCTTCCCAGCTCCCATGTGGCTTCAGCTAGTCCTGAACTCCAGGCTGCCCTAGGAGCATTTCTCTGGGATTCATCCCAAAATGACTTAGGAAGCCAGCCACAGCACAAAGGCTAGACCCTTAAAGGGGCTAGGGTGAGAAGGGACTGGATCAATGATTTGAAGTAGCCAAGTAGGCCCAGGAGGGGGAGACTGCAGGGCTCGTTTCCCTCAGCCCTGGCCTTCAAGAGAGCTCTCAGTAGACAAAGCAGTGAGTAGGGACAACCTTCCTCCACCTGCTCGAGTAGATTGATGGGGGAAGACTAAGATAAAAGATGGTGGCTATTGGCCTGAGAGCCAGGCTTTCAGCGTCCAGCCTAGGCCTCTCTTTCACCTGCATTTCAAGTTCAGACACTGAAAATAACTACTTTGAAGGTAGTTTGGAGGTGGCCAAAGGACCAGAGCATGCAGAGTGAGGGTGTGGGGATGCAGATCACCTGGGTAGCAGTCAGGACTTGCCCTTCCCCTGTGCGGACTGTGGTTGGCTGCTGCTGTGCAGATAAGGGAATTGAAGAAGCCTTTCAAACCATGGGCAATCAGAACACAATTCCAAGTTCCTAAGGATTAGGCAGCTGCCCTCAAGACCCTTGAGACCAAGCCACTGGTGTGCTCTGAGCCAGCCACCCAGCTTTTCTGATCCTATGACTTTCTAGTAAGAAAAGGGAAGAATCTCTATGGCATTTCCCAACCAGGGGATCCCTTTTAGGGGCTTCTCTGATCCCTGTATACTGCAGCTGCCTCCAGGGGGAGGCCCTGTGGTCCTGGAACAAAGCCCCTCTGAGGGCGGCAGATGGGGCAGGCAGCCCAGGCACACAGCGCGGTTGGCTCTGCAGCCCAAGGTCCACAAAGGGCTCATTGAGTCACCGCCAGCCCCCAGCGGAGGCTGAGGTGGCAGTGGCGCCAGGCGCCTGCCACCTAATGACCATCCTGGCCCAGCCAGATGTTCCACAGACCTCGGCAATGCCGACCAAGGCCCGCCCGGCCAGCCGGCCGCAGAGGCCACTCCAGTTCCAATTAAGCAGCTTCAGCTGAGCAAACAGCGGGCAGCAAGGCCCAGCCTGGGCGGTAGGCCCAGCCTGCAGAGCCTCAGAGTCTAGACTCCAGATGTGAGCCACCACGGCCTGAGTCCTATGGAAAAATGGCACCAGGCCGGGCACAGATTGGGCCTGCACGCTGAGGCAGAGAGGAGGGGTGGGTGGTTGGGCAGGGCCTTGGGTGGGCCTGGTGCCAGCCTCACCCAGGGGTGGGAGTGGTTTCTTGAGAAGCTACTCTAAAACCCCAGAATTGCCCCTGATTTGTTGTGTCCCTCTCTGTACTTCAGTCTCCCCTAATTGCAGTAGATGGAGAGGACTCCAAGGGGGAAAATTCCTATCGAGAGCTGCAGCTCATATCGCGCACTTCATATGTGACTAGCGCTGTGCTAATATTTCAGAAATGTTATCTACCATTATTGCACAGCAAAGGAAACAGGCCGAGAGGCAGTAGTGCGTCCCAGGCTACATTCGAACCAGAGGCCTTGCCCCAGGATTCTGGCCTCCTGGTTCCCTTCCTTGTGAACAGAGTTGGAGGAGTGGGGCTGGAAGAATAGCAACCTCACCCTGCTCCTGCGGGGGGGGGGGGAGGGGGTCCCCCTCCACGAAGACTGAGGACCACCACGGAGGTGAGCACCTCCCCCCACAGCCCAGCTTTTTGAGGGGCGGGGGAGGGAGCTCTGACCTCTACATGAGCTTCAGAACCATCCAAGGGTCACATGGCTGGGGAAGCAGGTCAGAGGGTATGACCTGGCTGGCACCCCAGAGATGCCTCAAACCCCACCATCCTGGCTAGGGCCCTGCAGCACGGCAAGAGCCCCTGCTAGCATTGCATAAACAGGGAAACCGAGTCAAACAAAACCAAAGTGGGGGGAGGCTGAGGAAAATGAGGCTTGGGCCTCTTCTCCCCGCACCGGCCCGCCGTGAGCCCTGGTCCCCCGAGGCCTGCTGCCGGCCGGCCGAGGCTAGGGCGCGGGAGGAGGCCGCATCCTGCTGGGTGCGTCAGGAAGGGTCGAGCCAGCCAGCGGGAAGGAAAGCCCCACCTCCCG